ATGATGATGTACAGTAACATCATACAATGATGGTGTACAGTAACGTCATACAATGATGATGTACAGTAACATCATACAATGATGGTGTACAGTAACGTCATACAATGATGGTGTACAGTAATGTCATACAATGATGGTGTACAGTAACATCATACAATGGTGTACAGTAATGTCCCACAATGATGATGTACAGTAAAGTCATACAATGATGATGTACAGTAACATCATACAATGATGGTGTACAGTAACATCATACAATGATGGTGTACAGTAACGTCATACAATGATGGTGTACAGTAACATCATACAATGATGGTGTACAGTATGTCCCACAATGATGATGTACAGAAACATCATACAATGATGGTGTACAGTAACATCATACAATGATGGTGTACAGTAATAACCCACAATGATGATGTACAGTAACATCATACAATGATGGTGTACAGTAATGTCCCACAATGATGATGTACAGTAACATCATACAATGATGGTGTACAGTAACATCATACAATGATGGTGTACAGTAACGTCATACAATGGTGGTGTACAGTAACGTCATACAATGGTGGTGTACAGTAACATCATACAATGGTGTACAGTAATGTCCCACAATGATGATGTACAGTAAATTCATACAATGATGATGTACAGTAACATCATACAATGATGGTGTACAGTAACATCATACAATGATGGTGTACAGTAACGTCATACAATGATGGTGTACAGTAACATCATACAATGATGGTGTACAGTATGTCCCACAATGATGTACAGTAACATCATACAATGATGGTGTACAGTAACATCATACAATGATGGTGTACAGTAATAACCCACAATGATGATGTACAGTAACATCATACAATGATGGTGTACAGTAATGTCCCACAATGATGATGTACAGTAACATCATACAATGATGGTGTACAGTAACATCATACAATGATGGTGTACAGTAACGTCATACAATGGTGGTGTACAGTAACATCATACAATGATGGTGTACAGTAACATCATACAATCATGGTGTACAGTAATGTCCCACAATGATGGTGTACAGTAATGTCCCACAATGATGATGTACAGTAATGTCCCACAATCATGGTGTACAGTAATGTCCCACAATCATGGTGTACAGTAATGTCCCACAATGATGGTGTACAGTAATGTCCCACAATCATGGTGTACAGTAATGTCCCACAATGATGGTGTACAGTAACGTCATACAATGATGGTGTACAGTAACGTCATACAATGGTGGTGTACAGTAACGTCATACAATGATGGTGTACAGTAACGTCATACACTGATGGTGTACAGTAACGTCATACAATGATGGTGTACAGTAACGTCATACAATGGTGGTGTACAGTAACATCATACAATGATGGTGTACAGTAACATCATACAATGATGGTGTACAGTAACATCATACAATGATGGTGTACAGTAATGTCCCACAATGATGATGTACAGCAACATACAAAAAGTCAAGGTAGGAAAGAGTCAACACAACATGATTATTCTAAAATTATTTTATTTTTTTTCTTCTGAAATTGAAACAAAGAGCACTTACAGGACAAGTTGAAACACACAAGACCGATGTGAGAGGTCATCTGACTGACAGTTAAAGCATACAGCAAGCTTGTGGTTATGTACCTCTGGTGCAGACAGTCAGTGATCCCATGTGGAAGAATGAAGTCTGGGAATGACTGCTGATACTTGACATGATTACACCAGCTGTTATATTAATTATCAAAAGACACATTATTCTCTGGTCTGGAAATCAGTTCACATGAAAGTCTTACTGGGTTTTTGATAGTTTTCGTAAATTTACTTATCTAAAACTAATGTCCAAACCAGTAGTTGTACTTAAGAGAGGGACACTAGTGACACTAGGGACACTAAGAAAAAAAAGAAGAAGAGACAGTAACATAAAGAGGAAGGGGGACTAGCAAAGGATGGAGGAAGTAAAGGAGGTTAGATAATCATGGGAAGGATGGAGAGGAAAAGAGGCATAGAAGAGTAAGAGAGAAGATGTAGGGGGTAGTAAGTCATGAAAAGTGAAGGATGGAAGGGGTTTGCAAGTCAGGAACAGAGAAGGTTGTCGGAGATTGTAAGTAAGGAACAGAGAAGGTTGTCGGAGACTGTAAGTCAGGAACAGAGAAGGTTGTCGGAGATTGTAAGTCAGGAACAGAGAAGGTTGTCGGAGATTGTAAGTCAGGAACAGAGAAGGTTGTCGGAGATTGTAAGTCAGGAACAGAGAAGGTTGTCGGAGATTGCAAGTCAGGAAAAGAGAAGGTTGTAGGAGTTTGCAAGTCAGGAACAGAGAAGGTTGTCGGAGATTGTAAGTCAGGAACAGAGAAGGTTGTCGGAGATTGCAAGTCAGGAAAAGAGAAGGTTGTAGGAGTTTGCAAGTCAGGAAAAGAGAAGGTTGTCGGTGATTGTAAGTCAGGAACAGAGAAGGTTGTCGGAGATTGTAAATCAGGAACAGAGAAGGTTGTCAGAGATTGTAAGTCAGGAACAGAGAAGGTTTTCGGAGATTGTAAGTCAGGAGCAGAGAAGGTTGTCGAGACTGTAATTTAGGAAAAGAGAAGGTTGTCGGAGATTGTAAGTCAGGAGCAGAGAAGGTTGTCGAGACTGTAATTTAGGAATAGAGAAGGTTGTCGGAGATTGTAAGTCAGGAACAGAGAAGGTTGTCGGAGACTGTAAGTCAGGAACAGAGAAGGTTGTCGGAGATTGTAAGTCAGGAACAGAGAAGGTTGTCGGAGATTGTAAGTCAGGAACAGAGAAGGTTGTCGGAGACTGTAAGTCAGGAAATGAGACTGTTGAAAGGGGTTGTAAGATAGAAAGAGAGAAGGATGTACGAGACTGTAAGTCAGGAAAAGAGAAGGTTGTCGAGACTGTAATTTAGGAAAAGAGAAGGTTGTCGGAGATTGTAAGTCAGGAACAGAGAAGGTTGTCGGAGACTGTAAGTCAGGAACAGAGAAGGTTGTCGGAGATTGTAAGTCAGGAACAGAGAAGGTTGTCGGAGATTGTAAGTCAGGAACAGAGAAGGTTGTCGGAGACTGTAAGTCAGGAAATGAGACTGTTGAAAGGGGTTGTAAGATAGAAAGAGAGAAGGATGTACGAGACTGTAAGTCAGGAAAAGAGAACTAATGATGGAGTTTGCAAGTCAGGAAATGAGAAGGTTGTAAGGAGTTGTAAGTCAGGAACAAAGGAGGTTGAAAGCATTTGTAGGTCAAGAACAGAGAAGGTAGTCAGAGAACTAAGGAACAAAGGAGGGTGGAGAAATAGAAAGGTGCTTGAGATGGATTGAGGGAGAAAGAAAATGAGTAGACAAGAAGATGGACAGACAGAAAGACAGAAGAGGACAGAGTAAATACAGAGGCTACCTCTTCAAACTCAGAACACATTGCCAAGGAAAGAGTTATAGAATAAGATCATTTACCCACAAGAACATGTCAACGTGCACCATGTGCTAGTGCAGCAGATATATGCAACAAAGAAGCAAACTTAACAAATAATTCTGTAATGCAAAACCACTATCCTTTCTAATATCCTACGATGTGAAGTCATAGAAAAACTGTTGCAGTAACAAATCCATTGTGAAATTGTAAACAAGGTAGAAAGTATTCTCTATTTTAATATGCATAAACATGATCAATGAATGTAAACTCAATGCTTCTCACATCTTTTTAAGTACTAACTTACTGTGTATCAAGTATAAATGTTTATCAAAAGATGATGATGAGCATTGTAAGATGGCACTGAATAACAAAAACATCAATATAATGAACAATATTTCAAGAGAAAAGAAGACATTTTCAGTGAAATGTTCACAGGTTGTCAACATTTCTCTTCATACTAAAGGAACTATTACTTGATTATGAATCAGTCATAAGATGGATATTTCTTTAAATTAAGAATCAATGAACTTATAAACAAGGAAAAGGCAGTTTGTCAAAGAAACATTGTGACACCAACAGATCTTGAGTTTTGTCTGCTACATTCAGACATGATTAAGCTTCATCAAAGAAATACAGTCAGCATATGAACAATAGTGTACTTGCAAATGGTCAAATTACAAAGAAAAACAAGCACCTGTTTTCAAACCTTAATGTTAGCCTTGGTATGTTGTGTACTTTAAAGCAGTCAACTATTCGTAACTCCATAATATACTACTCAACTTTAGATAAGGATACCAAGATCAGACCTCAAGTAACAATCTCATACAATAATTTAACGAAATGCAAACCCATGTTGACATGAAGCTGAAAAACATAAGATTCAAGACAATGTCAAATACTGCTGTGTGTATGACAAGCAATACTCAGCCCCTACATGAACTCAGAATACTCCTATCAAATGTTGGGCAGTATACAACAAGACTGGCTTACTTTCCTGATTTACTGAAAAGATTATCAAAACATTTGGAAAAGAAAAAAGAAAATTTCAAAGGCTGAATGTTTTTTTAAAACATCTTCCTGTTTAGTTTTTTATGGAACTATTATTTACCAAAACAAATGAAGGTGACTACATTACATTATGTTTTCAGTGCTTTCTCAGCGTACTTGGTAGAGTAAATCGGTAAATCATAAATAAAACTAGTCTGGCTTGAAGAATCATTCAAATTTCAGCTATGCTGATGCTAAGTACAGGAAAATAGTTCTCTCATATAAATAATTAATAATTAATAAAATAAAATACAAGTACATTTTGAATGTGACATGTTTCACCAGCTAAATACCATGACAGGAGTAATGTTATATATATACTCTCTCTTCAACAGACAAATAAATCAAATCATTTATATCTCTTCAAAGATCAATCTTTTCGTCAAATCATAACAGCAATTGGACAAAAGCATAAATATTGAACTATTGTGGTCTAATTCTACAAAATACAATCTTAAATCAATACGGTGAAACCTTTTTAACTTGGTTGGTCTGTTGGGGCTGTCTGATACATATCCATGTAACCAGGGCTTCCAGTATCACGCACGTCATGGAGCATTTTTGCTTCTGAATATGAAAAAAACACCTTCATCTTCAGAGTGAGGTGATGATGAACAGTCAAATGGACCCATATTGCACAGAAAAGGTGTTGCTGTATTTTTCAAGGTCAGCAACTATCTCTCTATTTGAAGTTCTACCATACAACTCATTAATTACTGTATTGAACATCTGTACCAAACAGTTATCTATAACTATCATGTATTTCACTCATACATGTTCATTTAACTTGAAAAATTCTGTTCCATGAATATCATATCAAATCTCAAAGCAGAATTGTAGGCCAAAACAAGACGCTAAACCTTTAAAACAGCCGACCTTATGAAGAATGGATACTTCAGCACATGAGACAAAACAACAATGTTTCTTGGACCAGTGAAACATATTACCTATCCCAATAAGTAACCATTAAAGGATTCAGTGAAGTTCTTCATCAAATAATATATCAGGTTGCCAAAGTTCGAGTTAATAAGGTTTCACTGTATTTGCTGTGAATGAACCATGTCATGAAAATTGGTCGGAAAGAACAGCACAGCCTTCGAAATTCATGCTAATCCACTATCCCGAGACTACTTAACTGCGCTGAGGACGTAAAGCCCAATGATGGTAGTCCTCATTGACTAGTAGCATTTGAGGGCTATGATTCTGAACCAGTCCTCAATTATTCAATTTCGGTACAAATTGGAACTGAATATAACTGACATAAAATGTAAACTAACATTTTTGTCTCGTTCAAGCAAGACTAGCTACAAACTGAGGACTGGTGAAACAGAGTTTCCACAAGACCTCTGGAATAGTCTTTAAACAATGAATTTCTAAGGCTCCTAGCATATGAATACTGTTTCTCCATCACAAATACTCAACTGATCGCAGTGCGAACAGCATCAAACTTCACTATGTTGCCAGGAAATATGGAGAAACAAATCTATATTAGAAAAAATTACTCAACAACTGATGCCATTTGTAGTCATTTTCAACAAATTGTAACATAAATATTGACCATATATTATAAATCTATGTTCATCGTTGCAGACATGACTGTTATCATGATGATAACAAATACATCCATGTACTGTCTTAGACAGCTCTTGGTCTGACTATCAAACTACGTGTATATGTACAAAATTTGGCATATAAAGTTCTCCAACCCCCTCAAAATCAGAACACACCAGATGTGCACATCTTGTGCACAATTCGACACATCTTGTCTTCAATGTTCCAATTCCAAGGGGGATACAGTACACAAAACAGTCTTTATGAAAGCTTTGCAAGGCATTCCTGAAGAACAGCTGTATCATCAACTTGGATTGTGTCATGAATTAATAAGTCAACTCCCATGGTCCTCATTAGTGAGATAAGTCTCACAAAACAATCATGAAAAAGAACATACAAATGAAATGACCTCGGTCATAACCTGTTTGTTTGTACACCGATGCAAGCATAGATTAATCATAATAATGTTGTTTTATCATCATCTTACACACTACCAAACACGTCTACCGTGGCCCACCTTCACAAAGTGATCTTAGCGCCAAGACAACGGTAATCCTAGGTTACATAGGGAATTATGATAGTCACAGCACACACATCATTTCGTGGAACGAGGTCCTGACCAATAGTGGTCATGTTATTTGCAACAGACTTGCATAGGTCTGATTCTGTTCTTATAATTCAGAGCTGCCTATTTTGGTCACTAAGTCATGGGACAATAGGATGGATCAACTTGACATGTTGTGGAGTCACACCCAGGAATTCTGCACTGCAGTGGAACACACAGTTCATGAAGCTGCCTGGGCCATGTGCACAAAATGATCTTAGCTCAGGACTAGTGTGCCTCTTTAAGTCAGACAATTAATAATTCTCATTTTAAAGATTTTCTAAGCCAAACAGTCTCTGTAATATTCAGAACATTATTTTTGAAATGACTTGTCGAATATGTTTGTTTCATTTCGTCTGAAGGAGAAAGCTCTTGCTTTAGGCATGAACATGATTAGGACTCTTACATCTAGGGGGTTGAAAGAATCAAATCCTATAACCAGAATCTGAACCTGTTCTACAGAAAAATAGGGTAACTGATCAAGAAATACCATCAGTCTGACGTTGTTACAGAACACTTATGACATATAGAACTCATGATGTACAGATCCAAGTGTGTTGGGTAGACATTACTCGTAAGTAGCTTGTAAGTCAATGATACAGTATACAAATCAGCTGTAGTGCTATGACGGCTTGGTGAAATGAGTCCCTGATTGTTGACCTTCAGTGATGAACATCACTGACAAACAATGATATGCTGGCCACTCTAAGAGAGCCTTCAGAAAACATCACCTCTAACATGTGGAGAAGTATAGTCTATAACATGAGGCGCAAGAAAAATGGATTCGGGTTCAGATTACCCGAGAAAATCATCTAGTCGGTCAATAAACAGAAGTCATAATCTTGCACACTTTTTGCACAAAATGAATACACACCGACATTTGCAATGTATCATGTATGAAGAAAACATAATTCCTGTACCTACTGATTGTTAAAACAGATCGTGTAGTTTGGGTAACAGACAAAACAATTATTTGTTATAAACGGCTGTATTTCCTTGATTAAATGCCTAGCATTTATTTCTTTCAGACACTTTACACCCTGCATCTAATCCCCAAAAAATAATAATGGGGGGAAGGAGGGAGAGAGGATATTGTGCATAAAAACCTACCTGGCTTTTCATTGAAGCCTGGTGTCTACTCAAGATTCCAGAGTTTATTTATTTGAGGCCCATGAGGCTCCTAATCAAGGAAATATGGTATATATTTTTAATTCATAATGAAAATCTTACTGGTATGGTTTTCTTTTTCTAAATACATGTATGCAAAAATCTTGTGCTCAATTTCGACTAGATTTCATCTAAAAATTACACATGCATATCCAATCTTCAGGATAACTGGTTTCCAACAAATGTTGCCATGGTTACGTCTGACTCCCTTGTAATCTGAACCACAAACATCTTTCTCCAGCCTCATGCAGATTGTGGTATTCACTCAATATCTGAAGATAGCATCCGCATCAGCTAAATTGTGGTTGGTCAGTTTTGAACCGACATTATAACCGAATATCTCAAAGAAGAAAGAAATCATTCTAGCTAAGCTAGATAAACAAGAGTAATAAAAGGACAGAAGAAATTACATCAACATTACATATATGGAACAGCAGACACTAACACAACCAAACAAAGATAATAAATTAAGTAGTACACATAACAAACATTGTTTCTAAATATTCTAAGTATTCATAAGTCAAAAAAGACTAACTTTGCCAAATCCATGTCAGATTTTCTAACATGTCAATGTTTTCCTAAGTAGGTATCTAGCAGTCTGTCAATGAAGTGAGTGGCTGACAGTACGGTTTGAGGACAAATTTGGAAAAGAATCAAATGGCTATTTATAAATGCTACCTGTTATGGTTGTGTCACTCAAAACAGTTCAGTGTTACTTCAGAGTCAGACTACAAAGTTTTGAAGCTGTTTTCAACACATTGCAGTGAGTATTACCTCCCTTTAGTGTCCTAATGTGTCATTCTGTTTGAGGACAAATTCGGAAAAGAACCAAATGGCTAGTCATAAATGCTACCTGTTATGGTTGTGTCACGTGTGAATCAACAACTCAAAACAGTTCAGTTTTACTTCAGACTACAAAGGGTTGAAGTTGTTTTCAGCACATTGCAGTGAGTATTACCTCCCTTTAGTGTCTTAATGTGTCATTCTGAAATGTCCACATTAATCTTTAGAAGCTAATCTTAGGGGGCAACAATCACAAACAGATCTAAATGTACATTTTTCAGTTACCATGGTTTATGTTTCTACCCAACTAGAACTAATGAAAAGTAAAACCTAGTTTCCGAGTGAAGCAACTAGTCTTATGCTTGTGGCTTTCAACTACTTCTAGCAGCCCTCTGAAAGATCACCACCCACAAGCTAGCAGGCTGTTAGAAATTCCTACAGTGTGACCGTGATATAATCTCTATGAAGATGAAACTGCTGCCAAGGTATCAAAGGTAATAAACGGACACCATCACATGCCGTGATGTTTCTATGTAAATCTTGCATGGTCGTGATAGTTATGTATGAAGAATAATGGGATAGCTGGGACAAGGTTAGCCTTCACGCTTGTTCTAACTCAACACGATATGCTCATAAAAATTGTTACAAAAACTATAAACCTACATTCCTCATTATCACAAATTTGTGTAATTCTGCAGTATCACAATCGTACCTCAAGCTGACTTAAGGCTAAGGGACCGACTATTTGATATTCAGGGAGTGGAGGTGGGATAGATTGCAAGCCACAAAAAATACATTGTTGCAAAGGGTTTTTTTATAAATAAATATTTAGGCTCATAGTTTGAAAAAAATATCTGGTTTTGAGGATGTAGCTGAAAAATTTCTAGTCTCCATACAAAATCCAGGGGCACCCTCCCCCCCGTAGCTGAAAAATATCTAGTCTCCATACAAAATCCAGGGGCACCCTCCCCCCGTAGCTGAAAAATATCTAGTCTCCATACAAAATCCAGGGGCACCCTCTCCCCCTGTAGCTGAAAAATATCTAGTCTCCATACAAAATCCAGGGGCACCCTCCCCCCATGGAATATCAAATGATCGGTCCCCAAGGGGGCATTCAGCCATCATCATATCATCCTCCAACCAGCATTGGACAGTTAACCCATGAGAAACAGTATGTATGCACTTACACTTTAACACCTTTTTTAACATTTCACGAGCTAATATTTTAGTCAAATATACTACTCAAAAGAAGTTGAAGAACACCAGATTCTTACATTCATGGTATGACAGATGAACTATAGTTATATGAAAGCATCAGGTGTTCCTTATCTTCTTTTGAGTAGTATATATCTGCAACAAGGTACCCCTTAGCGATTATAATGCACTTTCTTCACATAGCATTCCAAATAATTCACGCTGCTTTCAGAAATATTCCAGTTTGGCAGGGCTGGATAACCCCAAGTGTTGTTAGATAACCCCGAGTGTAGCTGGATAACCCCAAGTGATCCTGGATAACCCCAAGTGTTGCTGGATAACTCCAAGTGTTGCTGGATAATCCCAAGTGTTGCTGGATAATCCCAAGTGTTGCCGGATAATCCCAAGTGTTGCTGGATAATCCCAAGTGTTGCTGGATAACCCCAAGTGTTGCTGGATAACCCCAAGTGATCCTCGATAACCCCAAGTGATCCTCGATAACCCCAAGTGTTGCTGGATAACCAGAAGTGTTGCTGGATAAGCCCAAGTGTTGCTGGGTAAGACCAAGTGTTGCTGGATAACCTCAAGTGTTGCTGGATAACCCCAAGTGTTGCTGGATCACCCCAAGTGTTGCTGGATAACCCCAAGTGATCCTGGATAACCTCAAGTGATCTGGATAACCCCAAGTGATCCTGGATAACCTCAAGTGTTGCTGGATAACCCCAAGTGTTGCTGGATAACCCCAAGTGTTGCTGGATAAGACCAAGTGTTGCTGGATAACCCCAAGTGTTGCTGGATAACCCCAAGTGATCCTGGATAACCTCAAGTGTTGCTGGATAACCCCAAGTGTTGCTGGATAAGACCAAGTGTTGCTGGATAAGACCAAGTGTTGCTGGATAACCCCAAGTGTTGCTGGATAACCCCAAGTGTTGCAGGATAACTCCAAGTGTTGCTGGATAACCTCAAGTGTTGCAGGATAACCCCAAGTGTTGCTGGATAACCCCAAGTGTTGCTGGATAACTCCAAGTGTTGCTGGATAACCCCATGTGTTGCTGGATAACCTCAAGTGTTGCAGGATAAACCCAAGTGTTGCTGGATAACCCCAAGTGTTGCTGGATAACCCCAAGTGCTGAACAAACATCCCTAGTTTAGGAAAAGCAGCGTGACAATATTAAACCATCATGAAACACAAGGATTCTTCCAGGAACACAAAGAATGTTTCAGGCGATACACTGAGTTAACAAGGATCAAGTTGGAACTGTATAACACATTTCTGATGACTTGTCAAATGGCATAAATGCCTGAGGTTGGCTTGGTCTATATATGACAATTGCACAAATAGGAATACTCTCACTGGGTAAAATATCAAGGCTAAAAAAAAACCTGTTTGGTTCTCAGGCAATGGTTATGAAATACTGAAGGAATCATGTTTCCACAGCTAATGGAAGAACATGATGTATACAAACCCCAGAAGTATTGAACTTTCTACAGTACAAACAATACAGCCACACGTCTCTATAGCTCACCAGACTTATGAACAAATAAGTAAGTGACACTTGAACCTTTTTTCGAACACAGATGTATGGGGAAATAGAGGCAAACTGAAGCAAAAGACTCAACGAAATAGAAAAAAAATAAAGAAAATTTTGCAACACCGTTTACTACACAGCAAGAGTGCACATAGTAATGCCATGAACAAACTTGGAACTTGTAATGGTCATTATTATTCACACAAAGTGTAGCTTTTTGTGAAACTGGATATGAGGATCCTGCATGCCAAGTTTCATCTTCTTTAGTCAAGCAGTACCAGAGGAGAAGAAAAGTAAGAGCATGGTAAAAGTGCAAAGGTCTTTCAACAGTGTCAGTGTTACTCTGGGTCACATAAGAATCTGTCACAAGCTGTCCCTAGCTCTGGCCTTAATGTTGCTTGAACATCAATAATTCAAACGCACCTTTGGTTTTCATGGCAAACATATGCAAAAAAAACTTTTGGGGGCCATTGCTCCAAAATTTATGCAGATAACTTGATGAAAAATGTTGGCAGGCTAGTGTGTGGGGAAGTCTAAGAAAGAGTTTTCCAATTTTGTACCTACTAAAATTTCTATTCCTAATGACAGCATTTTCACTTTGGTGACACCAAATATTATGCTGACAAGGTCGATTCTAAGTCAAAAGTCATAATGAAACAATGATAATAAAAATAGATGGAACACATCTTAGACCCCACAACTAACTGCACCTGTGCCAAATGTCAACATAGTCTGCAAAAAAGATGGCTGATTAATGGCCATTTATAGGTTTCTAAATATGGATGCCATGATGGCCATGTTCAAAATTGGATCAAAATTCTGTGCATTTTTTAGAAACACCATAGCTAAGATAATTCAAACAAAGTTTGAAATTCACAGGCCTAGGAGTATCGGAGATGTCGAAAATGCCAAAGGTTTACGACGGACTGTAGAACAACCGGACAACGTGCCACGACATGAGCTCACTTGACTGTCAGTCAGGTGAGCTAAAAATGGCGTTTCTGATGGAAAGCCTGAGAACAAGACTGATTTTTTCTTAGCCTAACAGTTGTTGAAAGTGGTCACTCGTCCCCACCTTGCAATCTCTCATACCCATCCTGGATACACAGTGCATTACAATCTTCACCAGTAATGTGACTTGCTCAATGATAGAAACAAATGACTCTGACCTGACAGAGGTCAATGTCCTGTACTGCTTCTGGATATTCACAGCATTAAAAACTGTCACTTCAGGGATGGAAACTTACCAAGAACGTCTACTAGCCCAAATAGTGACAACATATAGCATTACCCCCACAAAACTTCTGACATTCTACTAGCCCTTAGGAAAAAAATGGTTCAGGCAAGTGGTAATTTCTATCCTGCTCTGGACCAATAGTCTGCACCAAGATGTTTATGGTGCCCTGAAGACTAGTAGAAAGTACCCAACTGTGGAAGGTTTCCCCTTTGATATCATCATAAGCACAAGTGACCAAGGCTAGCTTCTATTGCAGCATATTGACCTTTGTTTGACTGAGATGCTCTGGCTAAGGGACTGTGTGACCGAGGTTAGTTCCAATTGCAGGGCAGTTTACAAAATTAAGCATGAAAGTCAAGGACTCCGTGTCATAACCCCAATGTTAAATACTTGAGATTGATGCAGTCCCTAGGTTCACTTACTTTAGGAGCAAACCTCAAAGTGCCCAGGACCTCCCTTAATTTCAAACAATGCAATGTATTGACCTTTGTTTGACATGCAACCTGACTGAGATGCCCTGTGGAGGTGAGGACTGTGTGACCCGATTCAACTACTGCCATTTTGACACTCATCAAACTAGACTTTCACTGCAATCAAAACACTTCATCATGCATCCAAACACAAACAGCTCAGATCCATAAAATATAGGAATATATGAAAATCCTGAATTTCAAGCTGGTAGATTCTCAATTGAGACTATGCACATACAAAAATACCTATCTTAGAAACATCTATCAATAATGTTTTTCTATCATTGTTTCAAAATATGATACTATTCAAATATTAAGAAAATGTTTCTGTAGCTTCTAATATTAATGGGGAATCTACTTCTAACATGTATATATCTTCAATAATACAAAAAGGAAGATTGTAAATGTAACCTAATTTGATCATATAAACAAATCAATAAAATTATCTTTTTTTATGTTGTTGATATAAATATAACAATCCTGTAAAGATGTTGAAAGTATGTTGTATCAATGTCTTCAAACCACTGGACCCTGCATCTTCCAACTAGCCTCTGCCGCTCCCAATGCATTGCACTTCATGAAAATGTTAACCGTACATTAACACAGACAAGGATACACACTGAATGTTCAATACAAAGCCCATCCACTCTTGTGTCGACGACATGAACAGACTGTCTTCAGAACATCTTCAAATTCACTGCTCATGCACTCCTGCCACCCTTCAGACAGACGATGATCATTGACAGTCTCTAGTTCCGGAGCTCCACCCAGCAACACATCGTACAGACACGGCAGATTCACATTCTCCGCCATCACAAGAGGGCCATTCCATGGATGACGAGCTACGCGGAAGTTCTTCAGCTTGGGCATTTTCAATTTTTGGACATAAAATCCCCGACTTTGTGATATGTCAAGATACTTGACTGATTTTGATGCTAGGGTGTATGTAAGAAGACCCTGTCCACTCGGCGTCCACACTTCCAGCATCAATCGAGACAGCTTCGGTAAATTCTCCAGCAGGCGTGATAACAACTTTTGATTGAGGTTCTGAAAGACAAAGTATTTCTCTAGCACCAAACTGTGTAAAGTTTTCAAGCGACTTAGATACTCCACAGAATTCTCAGACCAATCAAAGGGCAGAATCAAAGTCTGCAAGTTGGGAGCCATGTGTGTGAAATCATTGAAGAAATTAACAAACAAGCGCTGCCTGTGACGATGGTTCTGTATGACTTCATCACTCTGTGACCATCTGGCCGACTCTAGCCAAAAGGGCAGAGCTGGTGTCTCCTTCCAGTTGATGTCAGCATAATGGAGATCAGTGCACTGTGAACTGTGGAGAACATTCTCAATCAACTGAAGGTATTTCACCTTGGCATCGGCAATGTCTAATTTGAACTCGAAACTGTGAAGGATGGGTCGCATGCGAAGTAAATATTCTGCAAATAGAAACACTCTGTTCTTATAACACTTGTAGCACTGGTTAGTTGCCTCATGACTAGCAGATACCAAGCATCCGAGAGGAAGGGCTGAGAACAAAACATGATTCCACAGTCGCGGCGTCTTCATCAATACACTCCATGACCGACATATGACAGACACTCTGGCTTTCTCAATGTTGGAAAGAAACGAAAAGACCTTTAGCTTGCAGTAATCTGGGAGCGTCTGGAATGGAAATATCTTGCTCTGCCCATCACCCTGAGTAAGTTTGAGGTCTTTGTCCTGGTGCATCTGCTCCTTCTGTAGTGGGGATGAAGAGCCTGAGAAAAGGGGAAAACTTGTTGCATGGTAGCGATCCCCAGTCGGGTGGTCCCCTCCACCTGAGGTAGCCTTGGAGACAGCTGGAGCAGATTGAGGTCGTTTTCGACTTGTTTTCCTGCGGGATTTCCTAGAAGTGGCCGGCCCTTTGCCCACTCCATTTTTGTCGGAATCCATTCCACACACCTATCAACCTGAAAAAAAAAAAACATTATAAAAAGGGTACTGTTGATACATGCATTCTAGTATATAATATGTAGGATATAGAAACACATTATGGTACTTATCTCTATATCACAAAATGTCATTTCTAAAATAATAAATTTATAACATATTTTCACTCATTGAAGCAATGTCATAATGCTTTTAAGGCATAAAAGGTAAGGAAACAAATTCGAAAGTTTAATGTCAGACAAAAATCTTAATTACTTAAGTTTAGAGGTGGCGCAAGTTTTCCATCTGATAAAATAAATGCAAAACTCTCCTTCTTTTTGCTCAATGCGAATGTATCACTGTTAGGGCGAGTTGAGAGAAAACCATGTTATCTCGGCCTGAGGTGAGGTGAGTTGGGTTTAACGCCACTTTTAACAGTACATGTGTATTCCAGTTATATAGGCGTGTCAGCTTAATGTGGGAGGAAAGCCTGAAGTGATGCATGTCTCAGACGGTTACCACTTTGGTGAAACCCACGAGCACGGGTATGGTGCTGACAAACCTAGAAACATAATCGGGACGAATCGTAACTCGGCCTGAAAGCTCTGGTAACACTAGTAAGCTAACCGTTATCCAATAGGATTTGCCAGGCATATGTTGTTAAGATTTGTCATCAAATACATACCCCACAAAGTAGGATTTTGTCATCGCCAGGACATGTTTGTCATTCATAACAGTTTATTTGTGAGTATAACAAGGAATTCAACATTTTTAGAATTAAGGTTTAGGGTGGAGTGGGAGTTAAGGAATTAGAGTCATTGTCTTACATGGAACTTTTGAACTGGTCCCTAATGGTCATATTGTTTCCCTGTCTTTTGAAGTGTGGATGACAAACTAAAAAAAATAATTCTTTTTTCAATCAAATCAACAATATATGTTAGTGTGATACCCAAAGTGATATAAAAAGCAATTTGTATTACTTGTGAGATGTAGATAATCATGTGGCATCCATTAGACATCTGATAGTAGACATGCAGTCACAGCTGCCAGCTTTCCCCGACAATTAGTATTTTGTTACACTGCATTCATAGCAGATGACGTACGGCAAAATAAGTATCCTCTTTTTACAGGTGTCTTTGAAAATGTAGTCCTTGTGACCCCTTAGGTAGATTGGCATATTATTTGAATGATCTAAGAAAGAATAAGTGAGTTGGTTTTAACGCTGCTTTAAACAGTATTCCAGTTTCTTCTTTGACAGGCATTTAGAAGTTGGAGTGCTAAGTAAGGATAAGAATTTATGGATGAACAACTTCTTTATTATAATTAAGAGCAACGTTTCGGTGTAGGTTCTATCACTTGCTTCATAATCGCTCTTAATTGTAATAAAGAAGTTGTTCATCCATAAATTCTTATCCTTACTTATTATTCAAGTTATACAGTGTCAGCTTAATGGTGGAAGAAAGCCCGAGGTAATGCATATCTTTCAGGCTCACCAGTTTGCTGAAAGCCACAAGCAAGTGTGTGGTGCTGGGTCTGCTGACAAACCTAACACATAATCAGGGCCAAGTGGGATTTAAACCCATGACCACAGTCTCATGGCGGGCCAAACGGATACAACTCTTTACAGTGAAATTGCTGTGCCTCAGAAGACTTGGCCACCCGTGCCCCCCAAGGAAGAAGAAAAAAATATTTCACTTGCAAATTCATAACAAATAAGACAATTTCAGGGCAGTTGGCAGCTCTAGGTCGTCAATGCCTAGTTCACTGATAAGGTTTCCTCCATTCACAGAATTAGCACCATCACCACTGATTCACGAAACTTTGGACCAACAAACCATTCATAAACAACACTTAAAACTGGTCAGCTGCAAGCAAGTATGAACGTCACAAGTATTTGTGCACTTAACATGCAGTGTCAAAAACATGTCAAACATCCTACAAAGTTCCTCACAAATCAGTGATACATACCTCCCTGAAAGTCCCCTGTTTAGAGATTTGCTGAAAATCTTGATTACTGCAGGCATTTGGTCCTATAAGAAGTATCTGAAATAAAGAAGAAAAAATTTCTTCACCACATCTGGGTCCCTGTAAACAATTTTGATGTTGACTTGTCATTACACTGTGCTACAGCCTGTCCCATAGCTCTTTTTCTTCCTAATAGATCCCCGCTCCAAATCTGCATCCCACTTTATATGCTTCACATGACAAATGCACATGACAAATGCACACAACAAATGCAACATTATTCATAACCTAAGACACTTACCTTCAAAATGAGTTTTTTGTTTAATGCTGCACTTAGCAGTATTCCAGCTATATGACAGCGGTATGTAAATAATCGAGTCTGGACCAGACGATCCAGTGATTGACATCATGAGCATCGGTCCACGCAATTGGGATACGATGACATGCATCAATCAAGTCAGAGAGTCTGACCACCCGATCCTGTTAGTCGCCTGTTACTACAAGCATAGTCACTTTTTACGGCAAGCAAGGGTTGCTGAAGACCTATTCTAACCTGCATCTTCACGGGTATTCAAATATGAGTACTTATATTTTAGATTATGCAACAAAATGTTTACTTATTGAGTTGAAAACCAGACCAGTACAGATATTTTATCTGTACCCTCTTGATGGTTCCAACCCATTAAGTACATAAAAGGTTACATGATTGAAAATATAAGTACACCTATTTTAGATATAAAATGAATCAATTTATATTCTAGATATAAAATGAATCTATATATATTTTAGTCACTATGGAACAGCTCATAGCTCTATGTAGGAGCACAGAAATATGGTTACTGCAGCTAACATACTTCATGAGATTCCTATGCATGGGCAATGGGAGCCCTCAACATGGAAGTGTTGGCTTAGAGCAGTGGGGAGGAATGGGTAGATGTTGTTCTTATGCAGATAATTCACCTACTATAATGACTGACAGCCTGTAACTTAATATTTATACACCAAATAAGCCACTGGATATTAGCATGGGCAGTGTCTTAAACTCAGCAGAGTAAACTGAAAGCCTTAAAGGCGAGCACATTGAAAAATATGTAGGCCAAGTGAAAAACCTGTAGGCCCCACCATTTTAGCTGAAGCAGGGAGACATACTCTTGCAATATAAATTGCAGGTCATAAGGGCCTACTGAAATATTAAACAGCCAAAGAACAAATCTGTCGGCCTGAGCATGGGTTAGGATCATGGGAATGATGACATACATTGTACATGTACGATCAACAAAATAATTTGGGGATGATTATCAGCCATGTGCATACTTACGATCTTCCAACTTCGTATAACAGAGTTAGCGCTATATTGAAAGGTGCAATAGCCAGGGAACATTGTAGTAAGATGTTCATTCCGTATCGTGGTGTATCGATAAATAGACCCACGTGTATCATGTTTCCTATCGTTGGTCAAGTAATACGATGCATCGGAATATTTCACCCTTACCAAATTGTGATAAAATTAGGACAACCTGTGAAAGCCCTCTGGAGAACCTTTTACATATAAACTGACTCAGGCAAGCGGGATATTTTGCATCTTGGTCACTGTCACATTCACCTGATCCCAATTTCATTAAAATCAGATCTTAGTTCTCGCTACTGCTAAACAAAGATCTGAGACAACCCCATTACGGGTCATGTCAGACCGACCTTGCACAAACTTTGACAGACCAAAGGAATGACTGACAAGAAGTTGACATTAGCCAATCAGAAGGCAGCTTTCTCATGCTTTATGGCACTAATTTTAAAATGGCGACTATGTCTCGAAACATGTTTTGACAAATTCTCGATTAAAACTTTGAAACCTGAACAAAAGAACATTCTGGAATGGCTAATAGATGTATTGATCTAATCATTAAGCCCATAACTATCGTTCGGAATAACCTGTGTTAAAGTTTTCGAGGTTGCATGATTAGAAATCACATTTAGACTGTCACTCTCATGATCTGGTAAGCAATGCTCTGATTGGTCAGATGAAAGGTCATTCTGACGTGACCCCTAATGGGATGTCCTCAGATCTTCATGTAGCGAGAACTAAGATCTGATTTTAATAAGATTGATCGACCTGATCCTCATCTAAGTTGGCTCAAATTACAAGAGACATGCATATTGCTTTATTGTTTGATAGGCATTACTTAGAAGTTGACGGATGACAAAGTAGACATTATTTATGGATAGCAACTTCTTCAATACTGTAAAAAGTGATGTTTCAGTATAGATCCTTATACAGTTGTCAAGTAAGACTGTCTTGCTTGACAACGGTATAAGGATCTATATTGAAACTTACAGTATTAAAGAAGTTGTTATCCATGAATTGTGTCTACTTTGTCAAGCATATATCTGCAAAAAATTTACGTGTTGAGCAATGATCATTCACTCAAATTATGACAGGGTTTACAGGGTTAGAAACTAACAGTTTTCGTCCACTAGTCCTTACAATGATAACATATAGCAAAACCCTTAAAAAGGGCAAATTTCTACTAGTCCTTATGATACCTTTACCATTTGTCAGTTAGGCAAGGACTATAAGACTAGTGCCAATTTCTAACGCTGGTTTAAGCTCTGCATAATTGTCAGTCCTAGCAATTTTGATTCAAGTCAAATCCACTTTGTTTATCTGGAAAGTGGAAGCCCCAAAAATATTTGTTTCAGACTTACAGCTAATGATTCCCTGCTTGCATAAAGACTATGTGTCAGTTTCAAGCATGAATTATCTCTGCTGACATCGAGCCTCAAACAGTGAAGAATAGTCCCCCTTTATGAGGATGGGATACTATGAACCCATCTACCACGGACTCGAAATGGGGATGCAGCAGTAAGGATCAAAATATCACAATGACACGATGAGTTACTTCACAATTCTAAAGCTTTTCACTGACATTTATGCAAGTTATGTCTACTTGCTAATGAAGGAAGGAAACAAACACAGGATGTTCCTTGTTTAACAACAAATTGTTAGTTTGCTCAAATGTGCACAACAATAAAAGCATTAGTTCTACTCATTTGTGAATGTCATATCAAAGTCAACAGAAATTCTTCAAGTTGAGAGTAGCTGAAAAACTGAAAGATCCTAACTGTTACAGAGCAAAGAATAACTAAATATTGGTTTAAAGGAGAGGATCTTAAAATGAGTACAACTCAAGTTAAAAATAAATCTTAGAATGTTTTTGTAAATGTCATCTCTTTCGCGCTGTATATTTTAACAGTAACTAGTTCTATTACTATAGTTTTGATACATCAACAAAATCGCAGATGTGAAAGGTACATTTTCAAAACCAAAGAAATTACATGCCTTGATAATACGAACTGTCACTGTCCAAATATTTTCGATTTGACACTGACAAAGACCTGCAAGTGTCACATGTCTACGCGCATTGACAGCTGCTCAAGTACGTTGAATCATTCCTAATTATTGCTCAAAAGAATAACAAATGACTAATCTTACCTTTGGCAATTTCTATTACAAGGAACTAACACGAAAATGTAGTATTTTTTGGATTAATAGGTGCACACCTATGCACCTGCCGCTTTCACTGACTGCAGAGTTCCGGTACCCATATGCTCATAGTAGCGGTGTTACAACTAGTCTTTAAAAAATCGTGATTCTTAACGGTACTCGTCCTGATCAAAGCGTTGGAGAGTATTCATTCTGTCTCCTGAAAGGGAAGTTAGTGAAACGTTTAATCTGTAACATCTACGGCATAAAATGCGTTATAGTCATGAAATTAATCACAAATTCTAACTGAACCTTAGCAGTTTACAGAGATGTTTGGGGTTTTTTTCTATAGCCACCGTTTTCCTGTACAATTTGCTTTCCCATGCTGTTTAAAACGAAAAACATGCATAACCCCCTAAAATCTTTCGTAAATTGCACAAATGTTCAGTCTATGTTTTATTTACACTCCAATCACTCTTTCTCTGACAAGGACACAGCCGCGGCAGTTGATCGGCGGTTTATTTTAGATGTGTGTCTTGATATAGCGTCGCTCTACTCGTTCAACATACTATGAAAACAAATCCGAGTTAGTGTTAATTGGTCTCCACACTAATCAAATTTGTGTATCCATGCGCATCGTCCTAATTAACGGCAAGCGATTAATCATAGCTAGTCTACTTACTAATGTTGGTAAATATTGTTCGATTAACGCAGAAATCAATGTACACGAGTAGCTAAAATTATTCCTTCTTTAAGTTTCAAACAGAAAGCATATTATAAGGAGGAAAAGGACTATACCTAGTTTCACCAGTTTAAACAAAATATCGCAAATATTGTATAACAGACGTTGTCGCTGTTATGACATCAAAGTTCCAACTGCCCTGCACCCAGGAAAGGACAGTACAGTTGTGATGTAACAGGAGACGACAGACTCGGGACAGTCGAGTTCATTCAAAACCAACTTTGTCAGTAATTTCGTATCTTAAACCAGACCAATACATCCGGCGTTTTCAATATAGTCTTAACTTTGGGGGTATTAAAATATGTGTTTGCACTGGTCGTAGTGCTGCTATAGTGGATGCAACAAGCCTGAGCTGTGTATTACGGTAAAAAAGCATGACATAATTTGTGTCTCCTATGCGTCATGGCTGTATATATATATATATGCTTGGCTTGCATTGTGTCATCTTCACGAGGCAAGGGAGTTAACTGGTGACCATAAAAGTCCAGTTTGCAAACTGAACTTTTACAGTCAGTTAACTCCCTTGCCTGGGGAAGATGTCATTGTGTGGGTGATACCATTTAAATGGTCCCTTTTTCGGCCTTACAGAAATGGTAACGATGACAGTATTTGTCCATCACATCGTCAGTATGATTTTCCGTACGGAACATTCTTGTGTAGATTGCATGAATTCACTAATGGTGTCACGTGGTAAAGCGAGTGCGGCAAACGCGGTCATTGTAGCATTTACTATTCAATACGCTTACACCCTTTAAAAAATCCACATAGATTCCAAGTACTAGCCTAGATACGGTTGAGATGATTCCTGGTCGAGTTTCTCGTGTATTTTTAACTTCCCATTTAATAGTGTCTAAGCATTGGTATCCTCAGTTTTAATGAGTAATTAATCATTACTAAGGGGTCAATTGAGGGTTTTATGCTGTTTCTCTTCACTCAAGATTGATAATAACAATTGTGACACGAACACAATACAGCATCTAGTTTGTCTACTGAAAGTAGTTGTATTGAATATACTAGTCAAATTAATTCCATTTCTAAATCCGTCTATTCCGTCAGCATTACTTAATAAATGTCAACACTGGGCTACTTATTTCAGTTTGCGTAGATAATGTGGTTTGTTTAAATTCTTTTTTCAACCAAACACTTCTTTTAATGTATGTACGGCTTGACATAGAAATATTAAGCCGGGTGTGGTCAATCAGAACTTCCTTGTGCAATGTTGTTCTCGCGCCATATCGTAGTCACACGAGCTGTTCCGAATGCTAAAGACAGTTACTTCCGGTTTGGCTCGAAGAAATTCGCGGGAAATAAAGAGATCGTTTTCATTGTCATCTCTACTGATTTGACATTTGTCATCATATCAGTGGATCACGTGTCATTATATCAGGAGAGAGACATAAACACTGGAATTATTATATATTTTTACAACAAGACCCGAAAATCATGGGAAACGAAACTAGTCAAAACACCTCTTATGGCGACAGCATTGACAATGACATTGTCATCCGATCGAAGAAAGTATCAAGTGAATTTCCTGCGAGAGAGGGACAGATTTGTTGTGTGTCAGGCACAAGGGTATACGCCTTTGGTGGCGTGTCCCAACATGGGGAAGAACTCAGAGAGTCAAATGATCTCACAGTATTTGAAACAGGTATAAGCTGCTGCATGCTTACTGTCTTAAGATTTGTAAATGTAATTCATTGCCATTAACTGTCAGCTAGGATTATTGGAAAAAAAACCACAGTATTTTTTTTCTCGTAAATATGATCCTAATTATAATTGTCACTAAGATTGACAGCATAAAATAATCAATGAGAGAATTAGTATTCAAATCACATAAACATCTTGCACTTATCTTGTATATTCACTTAGATCTACATGTCTGATAACTTGTTGATTTGGTTGTTAAATAGAGAATCTCACCAGAGTGTCTTTTGATATCAAATATATCAACACGAGTCGATAAAAGTGGAAAAATTCCAAGGCTTGCTGAGGATTTTGCCATTTTTATTGACGAGTGTTGATATATTTGATATCAAAATACACGAGGGTGAGATTTTATTTATTATCCAACATCATTCTTCCAACTTTTTCAATTTGTAGACAATAATTAGCAGTGTCTTCAGTGTAAAAAGTACTGCTAACAGCTTCAGTAGCAGGGCCATTAGTGATGTCATTTGATTGTGACGTCACAATGGTCTGCAAAGCACTGATGTAATTTCATTGCAGCAATATCTACACTGTAGATATCGCTTGATCGCATCCAAGCGATATCTCCTGTGGGAGCCAGTTTTGGATGATAAGGTAAAATTATTAATAATGGTTTACATATAGCGATTGTGATTTTTCTTATAGTTATTCAGTAATTCTTAGATGGTGTTCTGTCGACACGGAAAAATTTGTGTTTAATTCTATTTCAGAGAAACAAGAATGGACCAAACTCGTGGTTAAGGGATGCCCTCCGCCCCCACGTACTGCAGCCGCCATTGCCGCTGTCGGACACAAACTCTATCTCTTCGGAGGACTCAGTCACGCTTTTGGCTGGTTTGATGACTTATATTGTTTTGATGTTGGTAGGTATTCATCACAGAATAAGGATTTATCTCGACGGCGACATTCGGCACAAGTTTGCAGCACATTTTATGCTTTTGTAGAGATAACCTGTATTTCACTGAAAACAGAGGTTTTAATGCTTAGCATTGTACGATTTAGCTATATGAAACATGCACCAGTGCAACCTATTATTGTAAAAATGTAACTTTATGTTTATGTCTACATTCACCAAGTGCATGTCAAAATCTTTCAAATTTGTGTATAACACTTACTTAGAAGGTTCATTCAATACATTGGTATTTATGATTATTTACCGTACTACAGTAATAATCCCCATGCTATGTAGAAGTTCTTATGATTTCTTGAGCTTGACATCAAACTGTGTGTACATCAAGATTATGTGCATGTTCCAATTTTGATTAATTTATGAGACCAGGGTGTAACCTGGTTTTTGTCTGGTGCAACTAGATTTCACATGCACCTGGGTGCAAGTTAAATCTACTCCCTTAAATCGAGTCCTGCTTAGTTTTATATTATTGCATTGAATGCAATCTCAAAATACAATGTGGAAATACCTCTGAATTTAAGAAATCCTAATTTTGAACAAAATGTTCATTTATGCCATAGATTGTATACTGCTGACTGAAAACCTACATATTCACCGCACAAAACTACTACCAGCATTCGCTTACTAGAAGTTGTAGCACTATCACAAGGGGTATATGTGGTTTTATACTGTGCTGGGTTTTATACCACTCTCCTCCAGGTTTTGGTATAAAAAAACTAACGACAGAAGCATAAAACCACATACCCGGTATACTCCTGGTGGAACTGCTACAACAAATTTATTGTTCGGACATGTTTCAATCTGCCTTTGTTAAAGAATTAAATGAAAGTGAAAATTGATAAATATAAAAAAGAATCACCTGTTCGAATGAGCTGAGGTTAACTTGTCATGTGTCACATGACTTTCACCGACAGCATGCAGCTTCTTACTTTTGATAGGACCACAATAACTTCTTGAAGATCAAAAATAGAAATCTGAAATGTCTTTTTCACTTTTTTCTTCCATGTACCCACCAAGATTAAGTTACAACTATCTGTAAACAAAGCAATGACCAAAAGCGTGGGCCCAGTCCCAATGAACAGACTTAGCATGCTTAGAGGTATGACTGTCATAAGTCAGTGTTAGGCAAGGGAGTTACCATTGTCTTAGATCACTTTGTGGACGGGGGCACTGGACTTCCTCTTCATCCTGTTCATCCTTGATCCTACAGTTACCATGGTGACACTAGTTGTTTGTTCCCCAGCTACCAACACATGGTCGGTGGTATCTGCAGACGGTCCCAAGCCACTTCCCAGGGACAAGCTGCAGTGTGTGGCCTTGGGCAAGAAGATCTATTACTTTGGGGGATTTGGTCCCAAGTCAGCAGATGCAGACCAGTTAGAGGTAGTTAGCAGGGAATGAACAGGACTTAAACATGTTAAGTGTGTTGTGATTTCTGCCCGGCTGTGGGGGGTGGGCGGGTAGCCTTGTGGTTAAAGCGTTTCACTCGTCACGCCAAAGACCTGGGTTCGATTCCTGACATGGGTACAATGTGTGAGGCCCATTTCTGGTGTCCCCCCACCGTGATATTGCTGGAATATTGCTAAAAGCGGCATAAAACCGTACTCACTCTCTGCCCGGCTGTAGTTATATCTTAACCTAGCTGTCTTACTGGGAGGACTGCATGGTATTACCGGTATACTGCTATATGCATGTCAGACGTTTCATAATGCAGTAATTCTTCTGTGTTCTGGTATATTGGGTAAAAAAAATTAAAACATTTATCCTTCTTTATATCATTTAACCTAAATTCTACAGATTCATTCTCAAATTATGTTTGCCTTTGAAATTGATTAACGAAACAGCGGAAACACGGAGGTGATTTTCCCTCTTGTTGTTATCTCCCCTGTATGCAGCTGACCATGCTGAGTAATATCAATCTCATTAAGATCAGATCTTAGTTCTCGCTATCGCTAAACAAAGATCTGAGGACATCCCATTACGGGTCACGTCAGAACGACCTTTCATCCAACCAACCAGAGCATCGCTTACCAGATCATGGAGGTGACAGTCGAAATGTGTTTTCTAATCATGCAACCACAATATATTTAACACAGGGTATTCCGAACGACAGTTACGGGTTTTATTATTATATCCATACAATCTAGGCCATCTATAAGCCATTCCAGCACGTTCCTCTTATCAGTTTTAAACTTTTTAATCGAGAATACGTCAAAATATGTTTCGAAGCGTAGTCGCCAGTTTGAAACTAGTGGCGTAAAGCTCGAGAAAGCTGCCATCTGATTTGCCAATGTCGATTTCTTTTCAGTCATTTCATTGGTCAGTCAAAATTCGCGAAAGGTCGTTCTGACGTGACCCGTAATGGGATGTCCTCAGATCTTTGCTTAGTGGTAGTGAAAACTAAGATCTGAATTTAATGAGATTGGAGTAATATTTACTTTAGTCTGTAGAAAATAGGATTTGCCTGTACAATCAGTGTTAATCACTGTCCAACACTTAAGCTCCCAATACATTGCAATACGTATTGCAATTGTTTTGTCAAAACACTGCCCTATGTCTCACAAGGGTTTCACTAAGTAATCATGGTAAAAGTCGACGAACTGCTTAACAACAAGCTTTTTATACATTTCTTTCCACATATTCTTTGGCATGAATCAACTTTAAGCCCATCTTGTTCACTGATGACCCATGAAGAGCCATGTTAAAATAGGTCTTCAGCAACCATGCTTGCCGCATAAGGCGACTATGCTTGTCGTAAGAGGCGACTAGTGGGATCGGGTGGTCTGACTTGGTTAATGGATGTCATCGTATCCAAACTGTGGATCGATGCTCATGATATCAGTCACTGGATTGTCTGGTCCGGACTCTATTATTTACAGACCGCCGTCTTATAGCTGAATTATTGCTGAGTGCGGCGTTAAACAACAAACGAATTATTCACTGATTCACCCAAAGTATATATAAGTACAGTCAGACTCTGGCACAGGAAAGTTAGCGGGAACACGTTGAATCTTCCAACATGTCCAAGATATCCGGACATTTGAGTAAGCAAGGCATGGACAGCTATACAAATCAAGTAACAGAAATAGATCTATTGCATTACGATTGCATACACAGTATATTAAATCATCTACAAAAGACTACTGCTGTGGTTTTCTGTTTGACTTGTAGTACTTGTGATGTGTAAAGGGGTGTCTGACAATGTTGTAGAGTGAGGATGATGAGTCGGAGGATGAATTACCTGATGGCGGTGCAGAATTTGGATGGTTCAACGATCTCTACGTGCTTGATACTGGTAAACCTTTAACCTCCTCATCTCATTACAACTTGAATAAATATATTGGATAAATATGTTGAATGAATATGTTGAATGATGTTAAGATGTGTGGAATGGTACTGCCAGATGTTGTGTATATTGTTCACATTTCTTTGTTGTTGAAACAAAATGTTCCAAATATTATTTTGTGGATTCGTTTAATTTGATCTTGTTATATGACCAACCCTAAGTTTATGGGCTATTTGCAGCGTTCGAAATACCTGCCTGCCTGACCGTCCGAGACGGGTTGATTTCAACTCGGGCTGCCAGATTTTCAAATCCCCCTGCCCGACGGTCGGGGTATATTTCATATGTGAAAATATTCTAAATATTTCCCGATGATAAGCATTAATTCAAATATAAAGATGAATGATAAAATGTAACCAAAAAGAAACCCCGTTAGCGTTTAGACAACCTAACATTTAGCGATGCGCTTATGCTACAAGCAATCAGTTTTCATATTTTTAATTAAATTATCCTGAGAAACATATGATTATGGTGGGCAGGCAGGTTTTGGTCAGGGCTGGCAAGTATTTCAGCTAGCCAGTCCTATGGTCTGGCATAAATTTTTGGGAGTTTCATACCCTGCTATTTGTAACAATTGTTTGGAGTTCGTATCAAAATAATGCCAAGAATGATGTATTTGCCTGTAGCTTTGTTTTAGTTCAACATACTCAACATGGTTTCACTATAGACTTTCCCATGTAATGACTAAAACTTGAGCATTATATTACAGATGATACTAAAATGTCATAGTTGTGATATTTATGGATTTGAAATTGGACACTTAGCTCTGTCCACAAATGATCCCCAATTAGTGCATCTAATGTTAAAAGTTGAGGGCTAGTAGATTTTCAGACGGTAGGGCATGTAAGGGTCGATTTAACTGCTGGCCTGTTGGCCCGTGACCAGTTAAAATTATTTTACAAAGGGCTGGCTGAAACATAAAGTAGATATCCCGTCTTGCTAGTCAAAATTTCACCCCTTTTTTCGTGTATCTCTAATGTTTTTAATTGGATCATCTTGTTGGAATATCAACTGGCTGCCATTTTGTAAGTATTGTGTACAACAACTTCTTTATTTGCTCACAAATTGCCACGAAATGAGGCAATTGGTAGCCCAAATTTAATCTCAAAGTGCAGGAAAAAACATTTTAGGGTTGAAGAGTTCTGGCCACCTGACCTCAGGTTTCAACACTTTGTGTCCTCCACCATTTAGTTGTAGGCCTATTTTGAGAAGGACCAGTATGTTTTAAAAGGAGCAAGCCCTGCTAGCTACACACATTTGTTGTTAAATTTACCCTGGCATGGAAGGGTGTCTTAATTCTGCTGCTACATTTCTGATGTCAACCTTTCCGGTCTTAGCTGTTGCTAACACATTCTGTTTTGTTCTGGTAACAGAGAAGAATCAGTGGTCCCAGCCAATGCAGATGAACCTGGCTCTCCCAACCCCGAGGGCAGCTCATGCCATGTGCGTCGTCGACAGAGACCTCATCATCTTCGGGGGTCGTGACATGGATGCCCGCCAGAATGATTTGCATGTCTTCAATGTCGGTAAGAGATCTACTTGACCTTCAGTTACGGATCCAGGATTTTGAAAAGAGATGGGTGGGGAATACGCTATACACATGATACACGTGCTAAAAGGGGAACAAAAACATATTGGTCCCATTGATGTAAGTTGTCTGATTAAAGGGTGATGTGCACTCTACAACTTTTCACCCTCTACTATGCCTACCCCACCACTGGATGTGCTTGTATATCTGCCTTGCCTGACAAAGAATTGATTATGTGAAACTCATCCCTATTATCAATAATGCTGACTACAGTGTATAACACCAATCACTCACTATCAGTATTTGGTCTCCCATCGGCAACAAGGAATAAAAATTAAGATGGTACTGGAACCACTCAGGCCATGGGCACGAGGCCACTACTGGACCTTAAGTGTTTCCGATTACAATTAACATATAGCTCAGGTGGATTTTTTAAAACTATTTTTTATTCCCTTCAGATATGTTGGAGAAGTATAAAGTATATGGTTTGTTTTGCACACCATTGGATAATTGGAACCACAGCACTTTTCTAACTTAAACTGAAAGTTGTGATATTACAGAGTGTCATTAAATGACCGTTAGTCTCTGTTTTGTTTAACCAGACACTCCTAAGTGACCATAAGTCTCCATTTGTTTTGTTTAACCAGACGCACGGAAGTGACCATAAGTCTCCATTTGTTTTGCTTAACCAGACATATGGAAGTGACCAAAGTCTCCATTTGTTTTGTTTAACCAGATGCACGGAAGTGACCATAAGTCTCTTGGTTTAACCAGACACTCGGAAGTCACTATAAGTCTCTTTGTTTTGTTTAACCAGACACACGGAAGTGACTATAAGTCTCTTTGTTTTGTTTAACCAGACACACGGAAGTGACTATAAGTCTCTTTGTTTTGTTTAACCAGACACACGGAAGTGGGCTACTGACCTGCAGGTGAAGGGGAGACAACCAGAGCCCAGGTCCTTCCACACGGCCTTCAGTGTGGGGAAGCGTGCTGTCATCATGGGAGGTCGGGGAACCGGGAACCAGCACTTCGCTGATATCCATATTTTCGACACGGGTAGGAGACGAGACTTGCGTCCATTATCACAACACACTATTTGTCATATATTTCACAGAAGGAGAACATAAGTCACAATTTTCTTTCCCTACATCCATGTGTTCATTCCTATGAGAAAACAGAGATAATAAAAACTGTTTACTATTGGTACTAGAAGCATGTACGTACATGAACTCCCATTTACCGGTAATTACCAGTTTTTTACCGGTAAAATAAGACTTGGACCGGTAATTCATGTGACTGCCAGTCCCTGTGGACCGGCAAATAAAGTATCTTATAAATCATTGTTGTTGAACAAAACATCGGTGATATTCATATAAGTACATTTTTCAAACAAAGTCAGCTTGTCTATTTCTAGGATAGATATCCATTTGTAGCAACTTCGTCTCGAAATATTGAAAAAAAAAGGAGAGAAAATTGTGACTGGAGTTTGTGTGAATGATGTATAGACCTAGCTAAGTTACTTCAGAGATGACATCTTTGCGCTGAAAGTGATGTTGAAAGAATTGAAACCAAATAATTTCCATGCAGTTTTTTATTTGTTGAAAGTTTGGACTGGCAAAAATTAGGAGGGACTGGTAATTTTTAGAGTTGACAGTCCACAAGGACTGGACGTTTCAAAAGCCAGCGGGAACACTGGAACTAATGTTTGAAATGAACTTTCTTATGTTTCTATTGTTACAACTGTTTGTCACTCCATTCTGCAGAAACTCGAGAGTGGCTGCAGCCGACGTGCGAGGGGGAGCTCCCTGAGGCTAGAGGGCAGCACTCCGTGGCAGTAGCAGGGGACAAACTGATTGTGTTTGGGGGGTCCGGCAAATACAGCGACGAGACCATGCAGTGCCAGTCACACTTCACTGATACATTCATCATGGATGCTGGTATGTTGGACAGTGGATTGCCTATATTGTTTACTTATCTTGTGTGGCTGTAACACGTCCTGTCAGATGCTGTTGGATGACTGTAATACGTCCGTCAGTTGCTGTTGAATGACTGTAACATGTCCATCAGTTGCTGTTGAATGACTGTAACACGTCCATCAGGTGCTGTTGTGTGGCTAGAACACGTCCGACAGTTGCTGTTGAATGACTGTAACACGTCCGTCAGGAGCTGTTGAATGTCTGTACCATGTTATGACAGGTGCTGTTGAATGCCTGTACCATGTCCTGTCAGGTGCTGTTGAATGTCTGTACCATGTCATGACAGGTGCTTTTGAATGGCTGTACAAATGTCATGACAGGTGCTGTTGAATGTCTGTATCATGTCCTGTCAGGTGCTGTTGAATGTCTGTACCATGTCCTGTCAGGTGCTGTTGAATGTCTGTACCATGTCCTGTCAGGTGCTGTTGACTGTCTGTACCATGTCCTGTCAGGTGCTGTTGAATGCCTGTACCATGTCATGACAGGTGCTGTTGAATGCCTGTACCATGTCCTGTCAGCTGCTGTTGAATGCCTGGCATTTTATGACAGGTGCTGTTGAATGCCTGTACCATGTCCTGTCAGCTGCTGTTGAATGCCTGGCATTTTATGACAGGTGCTGTTGAATGCCTGTAACATGTCATGACAGGTGCTGTTGAATGCCTGTACCATGTCCTGTCAGCTGCTGTTGAATGCCTGGCATTTTATGACAGGTGCTGTTGAATGCCTGTAACATGTCATGACAGGTGCTGTTGAATGCCTGTAACATGTCATGACAGGTGCTGTTGTGTGGCTGTATCCCAGGGGAATCTGATTTAGAACAAGTCCCAAAGCAATCTATGCTTGTTGTAAGACTGCAGCAATAGAAACTAAAACTTTCAGTCCACTAGTTCTTATAATGATAACATAGCAAAACCTTTAAAAATTGCCAATTTATTCTAGTCCTTAGGATACCTTTACTATTGGGCAGTTTGGCAAGGACTATAGGACAAGTGCCAATTTCTAACCCTGTAAGAGGCGACCAATTGGATCGGGTGTTTAGTCTTGGTGGCTTGGTTGATTGACGTTTCTTTGTAAACTGATGACATTGATTGTTGTTCACAATATCAACCTCTGGATTGTCTGGTCCAGACTCGACTATTTACAGGCCGACGTATGCAAAGCATGATGCAATTTCATAACAGTTACATCTCCTTGGAGATATGTTGATCTGACTCTAAATGGATTATTTCATTCAAGAGATTTTCTCTTCTTCTGAATTTTCAAGTGTTTTTTTATATTTCAGCTGACTTTACAAAAGGAGGAGCTAAGACAAAACAGAACGGATCTGCAGCGGCAAATGGTGCGAGTTCGTGAACATAAACCTTCAGTGTGCACAAATATGTCAACGATAAGGCAGCCATGTTTACAAACACTATGCATAATGTTCAGGTCTCAAGCTTCCCATCAACATCGAAAGACTGCATAACATCGTCACTCATCTTTACCTCGGCTTCCATCAATCCGAAGTCTCATCTTGGTCAGCACTGGAAGGAATACATAGAACTAATTCCTTTCACATGACAACCATGCTCCAGTCAATTCTGTTGTTATCTTGGAAATCAGTATGCCTCAGCACTGATAAGCATACAATATTATGTTTCAAGATCAGGAGTCATTTTTTAAATTTTATACAGATCTGGAAGTTCCAGGGGAATTATGAGTTATCACTGCTCCAGTGCTCCTGAAAGTAGAATACATGGACGAAAGTGTCATCTGTAAAAGGGAGACTCGTACAACCTCGGCTGCTTAACATTGCAAATTAATTGCCCAGGGGAGGCTTCTCTCTTACTGAGAGCTTGTATAAGACCAATTGTCAAGGGGTACAACTCATTGTCTACCCTGCATAACACCCATGTCAAAGGGAGACTACTCCTACAAGTCCAATTACATTATCATGTATCTGTCAAAGGGAGACTACTCCCACAGGGACAGCAACTCTCCCCTATAAATGAAGGTGCATAAGATTGTTATTCATCACCACTCTCCTACGATGCCTTGACATGTGAATTGATGCATATTATGTATCCAGAACGAGACTTACCTTTCTCAAAGGTATGCGAATTATTATTGTATATGTGGCTATATTTTAACATGGTTAACGTGGATAATTTACATTTAAAATTATTGTGGGTTATAAGATGCTTGGATAAATTATGTTTGAGGTTCCATACCCTCTTCCATATGTACCCCTACAAGGGAACATTCATTCAGACTCTCATTAAGCTGATGGTAAGGCAATGTCATGAAATATTAAGAGCACTTGGAAAGTTGTTCTGCAGACTTTTAACATTCTGAACTCCAACTTGCTTAACTGTATTGAAAATAGTGTTAGGATATTTGGACAAGGTCAAACATAAAGCTGAAACTGTACTGGAAAGAAATTTTATGACAGTTTTTTTTTGTCTGTTACTCAAATATTTGGAGCACTACATTTCTTTATCAAACTTTTCTCTTTATTGGGTGGTCCAGGCATCGGATGGTGTAGAACATATCGTGTAGACTATCAGCTCTGTTGTAGAAATATATTTGTTTTTCCATAGACTCGTACATATTTAAAGCAGTTGAAATGACAACTTTTGAACGTTTCTTGGTATGATGATAATGATGTATGAACTGAAGTCATAATTATATTTGTCTGAACGCGAAGTCAACAAGTTGCATTGTTGAAATACATTGTGAACTTAGTGCTAAAAGTGGTGGCTATTATTGATACAATTTGTCAATTTACTTGTTTACCACATATGGAATTCCTGTGTTCTTGAAACCATGAATTGAGGTATAGAAAGTTCATGTGTTCTGATACTACAAGTGTGCTGTGCCAAGTTGGGCTGTTCGTGGGTTTAGGTTCAAATCCCAGCCCCAGTTTGATCCATGGCAGGGGTTTATTTAGACCTACTCGGAGGCCCATCTTCAGCCCCACGTCTACAGCGAATGTCAATAAAAATTCCCAAAGTTGGAATTAATAATCATTCAGTTCTTGTTAATTTAGTTATAGTGAGTGAGCTGGGTTTAACACCGCTTTTAACCTTATTCCAGTTTTATCACAGTGTGTCAGCTTAATGTGGGAGGAAAGCCCGAAGTGGTGCCGGTCCCTGGCATTTACCACTTCGGTGAAACCTCCGAGACTGGGTATGGTGCTGACAAACCTGGAAACATAATCGGGGCGAAACAGGATTCGGACCCACAACAATAGGTTTCTGGCGTGCCCAAGGGACGCAACTCTGCACAGCAAATTGAGGCGCCTTAGACAACTGGGCCACCGGTGTCCCCTAATATAGTTATACTAATGTTAAACTTTGTGGAGGTAATTATAGTCATGATAACAAGACCAATAAGGAAGAAGCTTTTATGCTTAGTTTTACGTTATTGCACTGTATGTAGTGTTAAAATACGTCAGAATTTAGGAAAATAATAACTTTTGAATGCAATAATTATTTTTTCCAAATTTGCCCAAGGGTACTTAGTTTAAAATCCATGATGAATCCTATCGTGGGTTATTATTGGTGCATGGCTTTTCTCGAACACTAAACAGACAGTACGCTGACATGGTCAGTGATTTTGGATTCATAAACATCAAGTTTAATGTTAATAAGTACACACTTGTAGTCGTCTGGTAACAGATCAGAGCACAGAACTGGTAGACAAGAAATGTTTATGATACAAGGCAAGTCAAATTTTACTGGAACTTTCATTTGAGACTTAAGGCCAACTGAACAAGAACAAGAACAAGTGACCTCGTCTTGAAACATGCCTTGAAATACACAGCTCACTGTGAAGATCCTCTTGATTAAAGGTTCGAACAACACCTCTCCTCTTTTGGGATTCTTGTTTTTGTGTTGAACATAATGAAATATTCTTTACACTGAATACTGTTAATAAAATGATTTTAATTATTGTCAGAGTTGGTGTATATTTATTTAGCATTGTGGTGTGTGTGTTTTCTATTGAAGAAAGCAGAAGATTTAGTCAAAGATGTGTTCAAGACTAGATTGGACAGGGGATTTCCCGAAAATGTGTACAAGACTTGATTGTACAGGGGATTTTCCATGATGTGTGCAAGACTTGATTGTACAGGGGATTTCCCCAAAATGGGTACAAGACTTGATTGTACAGGGGATTTCCCGAAAATGTGTACAAGACTTGATTGTACAGGGGATTTCCCGAAAATGGGTACAAGACTTGATTGTACAGGGGATTTCCCATGATGTGTGCAAGACTCGATTGTGCAGGGGATTCCCCAAACATGTGTACAACATTTGATTGTACAAGGGGATTTCCCAAGATGTATGCAAGACTTGATTGTGCCAGGGATTTCTCCAATATGTGTATTTGACTAGATTGTGCCAGGGATTTCCCCAATATGTGTACATGACTGTTCATTGTGCAGGGGATTTCCCAAGATGTGTGAAAGACTTGATTGTGCCAGGGATTTCTCCAATATGTGAACACGACTGTTCATTGTGCAGGGGATTTCCTCAAGATGTGTGCAAGACTTGATTGTGCCAGGGATTTCCCCAATATGTGTACAAGACTGTTCATTGTGCAGGGGATTTCCCAAGATGTATGCAAGACTTAATTGTACATGGAATTTATCCAAGGATGTGTACAAGACTAGATTGTGGAGGGGATTCCCAAAAAAATGTGCACAAGACTTGAATGTACAAGGGGATTTCCCAAGATGTGTGCAAGACTTGTTTGTGCGGGGGATTTTCCGAAGATGTATGCAAGACTTGATTGTGCAGGGGATTTCCCAAGGATGTGCACAAGATCTGTGCAAAATTGTTGATTGTGCAGGGGATTTCCCAAGGATGTGCACAAGATCTGTGCAAAATTGTTGATTGTGCAGGGGATTTTCCCAAGATGTGTGCAAGGGGATTTCCCAAGGTGTGTGCAAGGGGATTTCCCAAGGTGTGTGCTAGCCTTTTGATTGTGCAGAAGATTGCCCAAAATGTGTGCAAGACTGTACATTGTGCAGGGGATTTTCCCAATATCTGTTTTGCTTGTTTATTTGTTGTTTAAAGCCGCACTCCTATATGACGGCGATCTGTAGATAATCGAGTCTTGACCAGACAGCATCGATTCACGCAATTGGGATACGATGACATATATCAACCAAGTCGGCGAGCCTGACCACACGATCCCGTTAGTCGCCTTTAACAATATGTGTACAAGACTTTTGATTGTATAGGGGAAACAGCCGAACGTGAGATTGATATCGCTGCGATAAATTGTATCACAATATTTTGCAGACAATTGTGGCGTCATCGGTTACTATGGGAGACAATCACTATGACAGTAATATATCTGCCACAATAAACTGGTTCCTGGATCTATGGGTTGTCAACTTGTGATATCAATAAATGGGGCAAACCCATCAGTCACTAAAGCTGGTTAGCAGAAATGTTTACACTTAAGACACTGCTTATTGCTGTTTACACAGCTGGAAGAATCATTTTTGCGCGTAACTAAAATATCACACCCCTGTCTAGACTAACATTTAGTCTCTGAAATCCTATATTACACAATATCCTTCTTGACTCTAAAAAAAACAAAACAAACTATGCTGATTTCACAATGAGCTGGCTAGACTTGCTTTTGTATGCATTTCTAGATTATTATTTTTTCATAAAATAAATATATTCCATGGTCATGGTGCAGGACTAACCCCTGTCGTTTAACGTCAAATACACCAACGTGAGTCCGCTAAAAATGCTCACGAATACTGAAGCGGACGTAAAATATTACTTACTACATCTAAATCATCGCCTGGGCAGGGCATGCGTCTCACAGACTTACTACTCACGTCTTACATACACCCCTAGACTAACATTTAGTCTCTGAATTGAACATATCGTACATAAAAAAACAGTTGTTCAGTTATCTTAATAAAAATATAATAAAAAGGAGCCCAGTGACTCTCTTCATTTTCCTGGAATGTAATATCCAACTGCGGATCCTGGAATCCCTGATACTGCAGTGATCTAGACTTGCCAAACATTATAGACTTGCATGGGCTATTTTTGATATATATTTGTATCAGGGTCTGTAAGGCAGACTAATACACCCCCAGTAACGTCAACATCCCGTGCATGGTTATTATTTGAAAACGATTGTCAGAATTATTGTATTTCCCGAGCAATGGCGAGGGTAATACACGAATTCTTACACGAGTTTCATAAAGTCAGTATGACTCACACGAGAGTGTAATGATTTCTTTATTGCCCATTATTTCAAAATCGTTTTTAGCTACCGTTTATAAAATGCACTGATCACGACCGCCGTCTTAGAAAACCGCAATTGTCGAATGGCGTCAACAATCTTCAGCTTTGACGTCGTTTTTGTAGTGTGTCGTCATTGCGAACTTACATCACAATCACAATAAAATTCGAATGACTTCAACAATGCCGCACGGGGGAAGCAAACAATACACTCGTGTGCGTGTAGTGATATTCCACTAGTGCAAATACGTTTTTGTTTCTTTTTGCGAACTCGGTTATTTCTAACTCTGTGGGTAATAGGGGCAGCGGGGTAGCCTACTGGTTAACGCGGTTGCTCGTCACGCCGAGGCCTGGGTTCGATTCCCCACATGGGTACAAAGTGTAAAGCTCATTTCTGGTGTCTCCTGCCATGATATTGCCGGAACATTGCTGAAAGCGGCGTAAAACAATGCTCACTCACTAACTGTGGGTAATTAGAGAAGATAATATGTAGATAGAACATTTGTAATACCAGACAGTCAAAACTCATCCGGAATACAAACCAAGATCTTTGGCAAGGAACAAAGATACACAAACATTTGGCATCACAGTCACCCTCCGCCAAAGATGTGTGTTTGTTTGTTTGCTGTTTTTCGCAGCGCTCAGCAATATTATATATAGCTTATGAGTGAGTGAGTGAGTTTGGTTTTACACCGCTTTTAGAAATATTCCAGCAATATCATGGCGGGGGACACCAGAAATGGGCTTCACACAATGTACCCATGTCGGGAATCGAACCCGGGTCTTCGGCGTGACGAGCTAACGCTTTAACTACTAGGCTACCCGACCGCCCTTATAGGTTATGACGGCGGTATGTACCTAATCGAGTCTGGGACAGACATTCCAGGGAGTTACATCATGAGCATCGATCTACGCAATTGGCATGCGATGACATGCATCAACCAAGTCAGCGAGTCTGACCACCCGATCCCGTTAGTCGCTTCTAAGGACAAGCATGGGTTATTGAAGAACATTTCCACCCCGGATCTTCTCGGGTCCCACCAAAGACGAGGTAAAGGTTCCATATAAGTTGTGTAGTTTTCAGTTTGCTGTTTATCTCTGCATTTGTCCGTGTTCCATTCGGTACATAACGGTGGCCTGTAAATAATCCAGTGGCTGGTAGCACGAACAACGATCCATGTCTTCGGAGTACGATGGGGGGCACGGGTGGCCCAGTCCTCTATGGCGCCGCGATTCACTGTGCAGAATTGCGTCCCTTTGGCACGCCAGAAACCTATGATTGTGGGTTCGAATCCCGGTTCGCCCTGATTATGTTTCTAGGTTTGTCAGCACCATACCCGTGCTCGTGGGTTTCACCGAAGTGGTAAACGTCAGAGACCTGCATCACTTCGGGCTTTCCTCCCACATTAAGCTGACACGCCGCGATATAACTGGAATACTGTTAAAAGCGGCGTTAAACCCAACTCACTCACTCGGAGTACGATGACACGCATTAAGCAAGTCAACGCGCCGGACCACCCGATCATTGCCTCTCCTCTTACGACAAGCATGGGTTGCTTGGACCACGTGTAAACCGGGATTCTCACGTGGTTTCTAAAACCGTCAGTACATCATGATATAATATTCTTTCTGAAGAAGTAAGTATACTATGATATACTATTCTTTCTAAAGACGTAAGAACGCCATGATGTAATATTATTTGTAAAGAAGCAAGTCCACCATCATATAATATTCTTCTAAATACGAAATTACAAAATGTCATAATATGCATTCTAAACAACTAAGGACAAAATGATATATAAACATGCATAAATTAGCTCGTAATTGTGTTTCGGAAATTAGCTCCTCTGTATGCAAAATTAAGAAGCTTCATTTTGGGTATTTAAGCGAACTGTTTTTATACATTTGAGTTTTTTCATTTAATGCATGCGTTTCTGTACGCATGTTAATTCAGAGTAATTGGTTTTGAATTATTTTTTTTGTTTTTTCGTTTTTTGTTGTTGTTTTTTGTGTTGGTTTTTTGTTTGTTGGTTTTGTTTTTTGTTGGGTTTTTTAGGGGGGGGGGGGGGGGGGGGGGTGTATTTTACGCAATGCTCTGCTTATCCCTAGCTCTGCCAATTTGTTTTGGTCGCTACAAGCGATTGCAGTGTCTGTAAGTTCGAGTGAGTAGGGAACATTCTTGGGGGAATTGGAATCGAGTGATAAAACATGTATCGTGTCATCTTCAACTGAGGCGCAAGTATTGATAGCATCAATATTAAAGGGTGGACGTTTAGATTAAGTGTAAGAAAACATGTTTCGCCTTTTCTCCAGAACCTGATTACAATACAAACTGTATACCTATATCTTTTGTTTTGATTACAAATAGTCTATATAGAAAAAACATCAGCGATAGATTGTATGTATTTATTTTATACAAAAAACAAACCTTTAATTCACTGATTTAATTTAGGACGAGTGCAGTTTAAAAAGAAATGTTTTATTATGCTCACAAACATTCCTTAAAACAACACACCTGATGGACAATCCCTTGGGTGTGAAACACGGTGTCCGTAGTCCATATAAGGGTAGTAACATGACGTCACATACAGGTGTTCTGCATCACTGCGCAACTGCGGAAGGAGCGACTATTTCCGCCTTTCGCTACATACGGAAAAGTGAACTTTGTTGTCATGTCTGAGTGTGTAGAAATTATTGAAACAATTTGACATGGATTAACAACAGCACGAGGATACCCTGTTTCATTCATATTGTAGCCAAGACGGGCTAGATCCAAACACTTCGCTGGCAAAATGGTGAGTACTCTGTGTCACGATAGTCGCGAGATTCCTGTGGTGACCTGAAATCGATGAAGAAGATGTCAACATTAAACTCCGAATACACGAATACGCAATGGCTACTGTAACTGACTTTCAAGTTGTCGTGTCAGTTTCACTCAGTCGTCAATCTGCGGATTGCTAAATAACATACAACAGGTGGCGCCATTGCTACCTGTTGCCATTCCAGTTTCGGCTGTAGAGGCGGGCTATTTTTGGATTCAGATTCGTCCATGTCATTTTAATTGACTCTCTACCTCCGTTATCAGGACAGATGGTGTGAGCTGCTATATCAACGACTATCACTTCCTTGTATCAATAGACCTACTCATAAACACTCTCACTTCTATTAAATCGTGTCATTGAATTAAAAACTGGTTAAGATATGGAGTTTGTGAAATCTGGAGATCGTAACTTATTGACATAATAAGGTATAAAGACTTTTATAAACATGTTGTACAATCCCCTGTAACAGTGTAAGCATGGTAAGCATATTCAATAAATGAAACCATGAATTAATCAGTTATGAAAATGAAAATGAGTGATAATATGGATTATGATGTAAGCACATGGGAAGGAAGATCTAATTGTATGTGGGTGGGTGGGGTTTTCTATTTGTACCTTGTTTGAGATCCAGTGTTTGAAACAATTGTAAAACCCAAGAAGACAGTCGGACAAGTGACCCATAAATATTGCCTGCCCATCTTCAAAGTTACCTGCCCGCATTCAGACATTATAAACATTGAAAAATAAGAGAAAAATTGCATGTAGATTCAGTTGTAATAGTGCAAACAATTGCTTGAGAATCTATGAGGAGTTATGATAAAACAGGAGACGTAAGTAGTCTTAAAATTATCTGCCAGGCAGTTGCCATGCAGCCCGACAGAAAAGTTACCAGCAGGCAAGCAGGCAGTTATTTACTGATGAGGTCTTATATTATAGGTTCATGCTGGTAATCCTTTGCTTGGAAGACAATGAATGTGTCATGGTGACTGATTTACGACACCCATTGTCTGAAGAACATTTGATTGCAAAGGCTTATTACCCGGATTCTCAACCAAATTAACAACCCGTGGCGGTCTGACGTTGATTAATGAACAATTTGCATACTCATATATGCAAGGGGCCGACATATGGTTCTCAGTAGGAAGTGACAACTTGGAGACGGTGGCTTGCGGCATATACAGTTTTACTTCATACATGTAGATATATAAATACAAATGACACTATGTGCAAGGTCAGCACATAGTGGTAGTGGTTGTTGTCTTGGTGCCCCGGAGCACCCAGCCTAACCCTAGCTAGGCTAAGGGTAAGACCTTTCTTTTCCTCCTCTTCTCTCCTCTTCTCTTTCTGGACCAAGACTTATATAGCCAAGGTCACCTGACATTTAGTAAGTAATAAATATAAATGTAAACAGTAAATCATCAGTGACATACTTGCACATCCTGTTCAGGATGGCAGACGGTCGATGTACACAAAACTGGGGATTAACAATTAGGATTAGCATCTTATAAATAACAGCAATTAAATGTTTCAAGGCATATAGATGTCATGACTCCAGGGTAATGAGCCTTTGCAATCAAATGTTCTTCAGACAATGGGTGTCGTAAATCAGTCACCATGACAAATGTATCGACAACATCTTCTCTTTATTATGTTAGATGTTATTTCCTCGATGATGATTTGGGATTACATCTTGGCCCTTCAACATTACCTGGTGACCATAGAGAGTCAGTGAATTATCAATAATTGTTTTGTTGACTCTTGAAAATGAAGTATGATCTATATCCTCCACAAATGGCATAAACTATTTTCCTGCTTGATATATTTTTTCACAATTGATTATGGAAATGACATCTTTGCTCATGAATTATTTGATCACAATTACCTTGATTATTTGACATGTTTGCATTTCATCAAATAATTGTTTGATATGAACCAATTTCAAAACAGACTTTTACAGGGGAAAAAACTCAAAATTCTCACCCCTAACCCTGATAATACCTTAGGGAAACTGCTTAATTTAAGAATTGTATAACAAAAGATCTTAACATGGATTGCCATAGACAGGTTGTTAATTCAATCACAGTGGTCTGGGATAGAGACACCACCATCAATGTTATTACACATGTCACTGAGTGTAAAACTGTCGGCCCAGTTTGGCTTGGCCACTGCTTCAAGTCCAGTTTGACTTTGTATTTTAGGTGCACTTTGACTTGACGTGTGTAAGGACCATGTTAATTCTAATTAGTCCACTTGCCAGTGCTTAAGTAGGTCAGAGAAACAGCTGGTTCAGCATGTTCAGCAGTCACCTGGCTAATTGGGGAAGATTAATGGCACTTGTTGTGTAAGATGTTTCGTCACACTCGTTAATGCTGTCACATTCAGCAAGCAGATTCATCACTTCACGATTGGTTTGATTGATTGTGTGTCTGAAGATATATGGCTCACAATTTGTAGTATTAGGAAGTGAGCTTGATGTCCAATATTGACTGATATTGGTAGCGGTGGCATTTAGGTGGAAGTTAAGGTTTCTTAATTTTGTTTTAATATATTAGTATTCATCGCGTGTTTTGTTTGTTTGTTGTTTAACGCCACACTCAGCAATATTCCAGCTATATGACGGCAGTTATGTAAATAATCGAGTCTGGACCAGCCAATCCAGTGATTGACATGATGAGCATTGATCCATGCAATTGGGATACAATGACATGCATCAACCAAGTCAGCGAGCCTGACCACCCGATCCCGTTAGTCACCTCTTACGACAAGCATAGTCGCCCTTTTCAGCAAGTATGGGTTGCTGAAGACCTATTCTTACCCAGATCTTCACGGGTTTCATCTTGTGTTCCAAATTCTTGTTGATTAACAGTGACTAGGACCTGTGACATTACTTCTTAGTTTGTTTGCTGAATGGGTATTTTCAGTATGTGAGAGTGAATCGAAACAAAAAAATGTTGGAAACATATTTCTTGACATGTTTTATTTTTTATATTGAACATGTTGTAGTATATTATGCAACAGTTTCACTTTATTTTATGTGAATTTTAAGGTTTAAGTTTAAGGTTTACAGATTTCTTTTCATGCTTATGGAAGTGGTCGTCATGTAGGCACTTGGTTTTATGACATGATTTGAAGGAAATAGAAAACCAAAAATGAAACAAATGTTACCTTTGATCATTAAGTCGATTATCTATGATGGTAATGTTGAAAAAATGCATTGTATCGCTTGCATGAATTGAATGTTATGTTTTAATGTCTTTTGTTTGTTACAGACCTACCACTGGCAGAGTCGCAATGTCAAGACCAGTGGAGTTGATGACATGGTCCTCCTACAGAAGATCTCCGAGTCAGCCATTGTTGACAACCTCAAGAAGAGGTTCATGGAGGACTGTATATATGTATCCTTACACTATGCAACAGTAGCCTTGTGTTAGCTGTACTCTGAGGGCCGGAGGTTAAAGCCCCACCCTGACTATAAATACCGCAAATGCCCCTTTAACACAATGACATAACACTATTGTTTATCTGTAGATTATCTGTATTGATGAATTGAGTGTTTACTGACCTACTTTCTGCAATGCAAATGTCAAGCTCATGCTCATCATTACAAATATACGAGCTACAATTAATCGAACAAGATGCATGAGCAGTACGAATATAGGTGCGAGTTAACATGCAGCATGGTATTGAAGCTCAAAGTTACAAGTTCTAATGTATTACAAATGTACTGCATGCAGTTCCCGTGCTGCATATTTGTGTATTATGCTTTTTGTGACTGTATTCTATACTTGTTTATGCATTATGTTGTTACTTTGATGTTGTATTGCAAGTCAGATAACCCACAGGTAACTGGACATTCGTTACACGTTAAAATACCAGAAACCATGATGTTTGTCATGCTCGGATACATAGTCTGTCATCACAAGTTAAAAGACCAACCAAATTCATTTAGCCTGACCTCATGATATGATACTCGTATCGTGGTACGGAGCACCATGATGCGAAGAAAATGTGATGAATCATTACACCCCTAGTTGAAGCACATCATCATTTAAAGAAAGTAGTCCCATGAGTAACAGGTAGCAATGGACAGTCAGTGAAGTTTATATGACACTCGAGATCAGGATATATATTGTTACATAATAACAACACATGCTTGATTTTAAGTAGCTGCATGGCCTCATTTAACGATTTAGTACCATGATAATTTGGTGAATGACGATTTAGTACCATGATAATTTGGTGAATGACGATTTAGTACCATGATAATTTGGTGAATGACGATTTAGTACCATGATAATTTGGTGAATGACGATTTAGTACCATGATAATTTGGTGAATGACTGAATGTTGTTTTATGGCACAGTTGGCCTTATTCCAGCTATGTCTTGGAAGCTTGTGAATAATCAAGACAAATCACGACAGACCAGTGAATGATTTGTCCGCTCTCAACAAGCATGGGATATTACTGGTGACCCATTCTTCTCCCAAACCAACTCAGGTATTTTAGGGCATTAAAAAGAATAGAGCTGCTATAAGCATGATAAGTTCAGGTTGCTAGGAATACCTGTTCTTCAAGGCACCATTACCTGTTGCAGTAGAAAAGTAAAGGTACCCATAATCAAGTCTTTGAAAGGCATTTTTAGAAGTGATATACATAAGGAAGAGAATCTATGAATGTCAATTTCTTTATTATAAGGAGCACAACGTTTCAGAGTATATTCTTACTCCTTCATCAGGTGAATGAATGCTATGAGGCAGAGAGCATATCATGTATATATGTATGTGTAAGAACAACCAAAGAAATAAGATAACAAGAGGTGGAAACTTAACAAGGGAAGCCAACAGATAACTGGAGTTGACAGGTGATTAGCAATAGACAATGGAAGCCAACACTTTACAGTAATTAGCGCTGATAGTTTTTGGACAACTGGAAGCCAGGACTTAAATTATCACTGACTGGAAATTGGCAATGGACAAACATGAGGTCAGGGGTAAATAGCACCAATAGGTAAAAGAATAGAAATAGAAATGGTCAAATGCAAGCCAGCGTGATAATTAGCTAATTAGCATTCAAAGATCAAAGCAGTAAGTCCCAAGCACTAGGCAGATATGTTCCCTGGTCACAGTTCATGGCTGGCTGGTGTCTCCTGATGTCAATGGCTTCTTGTAGATTTCTTTGTTGCCAGTTATTGTTGTTGGTAGACAGGACTTTGGTGGCTTCCCACAGGATGTTATGGTCTTGGCTCTTGAGGATGTGTTCGTGACTAGCGGATTTCAGGTCTAGTTTGTTGACGTCTGATGTTCTTTGAGTCTGGTGTTGTGAGGGGTCTGAGGGTTTCTCCAATGTACTGGTGGCCACAGTTGCAGGGGATCTGTTGTATACATACCTGGGGTTTGGGACTTAAATGAGGGTCTCCCTATACATTATTTATCGCAATACTTTTTTCGTGATAAAATGGATATCCTGTTACTTAATTTGCAGCAATTTTGCGTGGAAGTTTATATTTCATAGGACATCCCTGCTATATTGTAACAATAGGACATCCATACTATATAGTAACAATAACAATAGGACCTCCCCACTATATGGTAACACTAACAATAAGACATCCCTACTATGTAGTAACAATAACAACAGGACATCCCTACTATATGGTAACAATAACAATAGGACCTCCCCACTATATGGTAACACTAACAATAAGACATCCCTACTATGTAGTAACAATAACAACAGGACATCCCTACTATATGGTAACAATAACAATAGGACCTCCCCACTATATGGTAACACTAACAATAAGACATCCCTACTATGTAGTAACAATAACAACAGGACATCCCTACTATATGGTAACAATAACAATAGGACCTCCCCACTATATGGTAACACTAACAATAAGACATCCCTACTATGTAGTAACAATAACAACAGGACATCCCTACTATATGGTAACAATAACAATAGGACCTCCCTAGGTCTATATGGTAACAATAAATGACAGTTAGAAAGGCAGAGTGAAAGTTTGATTGGTTGTCCACCTGATCCAACATGTCCAGTACACACACTTCATTTATTAGTTTGTTCTTAATGAGAAGTGAGCTGATCACTGAAGCATGAAACACACTGATACATTATTCTGAAAAGATTTCTTGTCCTGCATGCCATTTCCTTGATCAGGAAGAAAATTGCTATTTTTTTCTGATAAATGTCAACATTATAACAGATAACACAATTTATGTGTTGGATTATTTAACACTATGAAATAATGCACCTTGTCTATATATAGAACTAGGTGTGTCAGTTGGGATTCACCATATTTCCTCTGTTAGCATGATTAGGTGTAGGGGCTCCAATACATGCCGGCCTCTGATTGACACCGTAATACCCTCTGTCCCAACAATAGAAACAGGGCCTTTTATGAAATTAATTATTGATATTGGTCCCTTGTTTTAATAATGACCATTTCCTCGAAATGTATACCTTTGTGTGAGTGTAAAATTTAGGATTTGGTAATGTAGTGTGTTGCCAGTGTCCCAGCAGAATAGGCCTGTGACTTCACTGGGTTCAAGGTTTGTGTGAAATTATTAGACACACAGGCATCTAATGGAGGAAATACAGTATTTATGTGACAGAACTAGCTCCATATCCCCAGCATTAGCTCCTGGGACTTTATTGATATAGTATATTGGTTTGACCACATACTCATTGCTCTATTCGCCACGTGAAGATCATGGTTAGAATTGGTCTTCAGCAACCCATGCTTGGCTAAGAGGATTGGATGGTCAGACTCACTGACTTGGTTGATGCATGTCATTGTATCCCAGTTTCATAGATAATATGCTCATGGTGTCAATCTCAAGATTGTCTGATTCAGACTCCATGATTTACAGACGGTCATCATATGACTGGAATATTGCGGAGTGGGACGTTAAACAAAAAGCAAACAAGCAAAGGTTCTATTCTTTAACTCATTGCTTTCACTCTGGCTTCAACTCTCTATACAAAAGTCACTACAGTAGTTGTATTCTGGTTATCAGACGTTGCAACAGGGTATTCAGATTGAATTATTTGTGATTGCATAGCTGAATACCCACACATACTGCTTATGACATACTTACAGATGTAAAGATCCGGGTTAGAACAGGTCTTCAGCAACCCATGCTTGTCATAAGAAGCGACTAACAGGATCAGGTGGTCAGGCTTGCTGACTTGGTTGATAATGTCATCGTATCCCATTTGCGTGGATCAATGCTTTTGATGTCAATCACTGGATTGTTTGGTCAACACTTGATTATCTACAGACCACTGTCATATAGCTGGAATATTGCTGAGTGTGGCGTAAATTAACAAACAACCAAACAGAACACCGTCATATAGCTAGAATATTGCTGAGTGCGGCATTAAGCAACAAACAAACAAACTACTAGAAATGAATGTCATAGCAAGGCTACAGGACATCATCAACACGTTAAAGATGAGCAGTTTGTAATAACATTTAAAAGCCATCTATTCAGCTCAAGTATTGTTTCCTGATGCATGTAGTAATGCTGCTTCTGAGGAATATGTGTGTATGACTTTACCACTCATTCAGGAAGTATGTTTCCCATCTCTCCCTAGGGCTGTTTATTCAGTTTACAGCCTGAGTTAATTTTATCTTTTTTTTTTAAATTTAGAGTACGCATTTAAGAGGAAGAGCTCTCAAAAGGTTGACACTCCACCGAGCTCCAGATAAGCTTTTGGTGTTGTGGGTATTTTACCCATGCATTTTAAAATCATTGGGTATCAGTAATTCTATCTGCGTATTCAAATTTCTGTTACCCACTAGTTTTTACACATGTGGGTATTTAAGTTAAATATTTAAAAACACTATTCATCTAGTCCCTGCAAACTGGTGTCGTGTGGGTTCGAGAGCTTTATAGGACTCAAAAATACCACGATACTTCCACAAGAAAGTGTGATGGCAAATGATCATCGTGGAGTTGCTGATTTGCTAATCGGTTACTTCACAATATTTTGATGATACGCACAAGTTTTATTTTTGTAGCGTATCTGTAATGTTCGTTGCGTATTTGATATGCTGGGATTATATTTTACTGTGTATTTCTGCATTTCTGATGCGTATTTCACGCAGATACGCAGCTTATCTGGAGCTCTGACTCCAAACAACCATTGGAAAACACTTACTTTAGATCTGGAAAGGCTTCCGCAATCAAATTATTGCGAGTGTCTAACACTAACCTTAAGTGCGTCTGGAAAGTTTTGCAGTTTTGACACCCTATTGATGAGATTACCAAGGATCAAATTTACTTGTAGATGTGTTATTTTATCCCCCCCCGGTTTGAAAAACAGGCGGATGTGCCTCCATCCGTTTTATGTGTCCGGAGCAGAACT